GAGATTTGAAAACAAAGACAATCCAGTTGCAATTCCATCCTTCAGATGCTGTTAAGAGAGAGAAGGTGAATTTATTAATCTTGAGTGAGTTTAGTGTTTGTTTTTTGTTTTGTTTTGTTTTTTAGTTTTGTTTTGTGTTTTTTTTAATTTTTTAAATTTGTATCTTATTATTTTGTGTGCATGTACCGTCAAATCGAATCTGACTGGTACAGGAGGAGATTGTCCCTCCTTTTTCAGCAGAGCATCTGGTGGATTTGAACTGTGTGCCTCTGGAATTGCAGTGCAGCTTCTTGCCACTAGGCCACCAGAGCTCCCCAGTGTGTGTTTGTTTTTTTTAATAACCCAGTATCTCCCAGTTTAAAAATAATCAAATTAAAGAATAGGTTAAGTACCCTTGCTACTGGGTGCCATCCAGTTGACCCAGCTCCTAGCAGGCCCTGTACAACATAGTGAAGCCATGCTGCGGCCCTGGCCTCCCAGTCATTGCTGCGTGTGAGCCCACTGAGGCAGTAACTGTGTCAGTCCTTCTTAGGATCTTCTATCAAATGGGAATTGATAACCTCTTCAACAAATAATGCTGGCAGAACTGGACTGCTACGTACAGAACGCTAAAACAGGAAGTAATAAATGTTGGAGGGGATGTGAAGAGATTGGAACTCTCACATATTGTTGGTGGGATTGTAAAATGGTACAACCACTCTGGAAGGCAGTTTGGCGTTCTCTTAAAAAGCTGAGCATAGAAATTTCATATGAACCAGCTTTTCCACTGCTTGGAATATATCCCAAGAAAATGAGAACTGAGGCACAGAGACTTGTACACCAATGTTCATAGCAGTATTATTCACCATCACAAGAACATGGAAATAGCCCAAATGTCTAACCAAAATCGAATGGGTTGAAAAACAATGGATTACTACAGAGCACGCAGGAGCAATGATTTTGTAAATTGCTACCTAACATAGGAGGGACTAACTCAGTCCCATAAGGACAAATAATGTATAAGATCCTTATTGCAGAAATGGATTACTAGTAAAAGGTGTATGAGTTGTATAGTTTGATGGGTCAGGAGGTGCGGGGAATTGGAAGAATCTGTTCTGAAAACCATTGTATTCAAATTTTTAAATAAACTAGTAAAAAACCCCAACATACTGAGGATCCATGTGTGGGAGGTGAGGAGCATAGGGGAGAGGATGCGCGGGGGGCATAATCATAGGGCTGCACAATTTGATGGATGGAGGGAGGGGTGCGTTAAGGAAATGGGAAAGATCTGGTATGAAAAACAATGTATATGGAATTTGTAAGTAAACCAGTATAAAATGATGTTGTTGTTAAATGCCAGTCAAATCGTAGGTGACTCATAGCAACCCTATAAATGAAAGACCTGAACACTAGTATAACTTTCATCCTTTCTCCAGGTTCATAGGGTTTCTGGAGGCAAGCTATTTTGGAAGTGTATGCCACTCCTGCTTCCAAGCTTGTGTTAATCAGGGAGCTCCACCAAACATTTTCCACCATGGGTGACCAATATCGCGTTTGGCATATCAGTGTCACAGTGTTCAGCATCGCAGCAACCACAAGTTACCTCTGTACAGCAAATGAACAGACCAGTGCTGTAACACCTAGAAGAATGTTTAACCAAAAACAATTAAAAGCAAGTCTGAGGGACCCAGATTAACACATTGCCACAAATGATGGCTTTAGCTGTCCTGCACATGTTTCTAAGCACGGCTGTCAATTTAAAAGTGTTTAAAATCACCCACCTTTGCCTTGGTAGCATCACTTTCTGTCCATTAAGCTAACTGAGCTCTCTCTGTGTTGTTGTTAAGTGCCGTCGAGTCATAAGCAGCTCATAGCGGCCCTATGAACGAGAGACCTGAGTATAAAATAGAAAGTTTCAAATTAAAAAAGCAAAACAAAAACTCCAGGGTAGTTGATCCTCTCCAAGTAAAACACTCGGGCATTGAAACTCGAGCTCAGAGGGAAAGGATTGGATACCCCTGGCAACTCACCTCTAGTAAGAAAGAGCGGCACTTGTTAATTAATCATGGCAAAAAATACCAGAATGTTGAAGTAATGAGTGTGCTTACATGAAGCCCTAATTAGTATCCTGTTTTAGACATCAGTAGGTTTTTTGAGGCTGTCCATAGTCTGAATTTTGCAGTAAGTATTTAGAAGATTCAAAATGTTAACTTTTTCAAAATAACTTGGTTTCTAAAATGACATACTTACACAGAAATCTTTTTCTTAATGATACTGAATAAGTGTTCTGTTCCTTTTCCCCTCAGGATAATATGGCCATTGCATGTGGATCCCGAGCTCACCTGGAGAAAGAATCAATTGCTCAGGTGAGGCTTAGCTGACCCAGCACAGCAGCGTTGCCTTTTCACGTACGTAGGACACTTGACAAGAAGCCAACATTCATTCTTGTGCTCATAGAAAGGAGGTTCCTTCCAAAAGAAAAGAATTTTATTCTTTTTGAAAAGTTCGTAAAAGAGTAACACACTGAGAAATTCTTTTTTCCTCCTTATGATTTGAAAGTTTACAAGCTAATTGGCTTTCCGTGCAACCATTCACATACATTTTGTTTTACGATAGTAACTGCATTTGCAATACCCACAGTGTAACCACCCTCTGCCCACTTCTGCCTGTGATTCTCACATCCATTAATCCCTCTTATCCTATTCCTTTTTACCTTTTGATCTTCATCTCTGGGCAAATGCCACCCTTTTGATCTTACATGGTTGGTTATTCTAAGGAGGAAGTACCAGCCTGGTGTATGGGTCACCTTATTTGTCAGCTGAAAATTGAGCCGTGGGGGTGAGTTAGTGTATTTTGTTCAAGGCTTGAAGGATGAGTAGAGACCGTAGTTTCAGGGCTTCCACCAGTAAGCCTGGCCTTTTTTCTGATTGTGAGTTGTGTCCCACCTTTTCACCCCCTCTAACTTTTACTGTGACCCCTTTTTATAGTGAACAGCAGTGGTAGCCAAGCTTCATGTAGTTCTTTTGGAAGGAATTTATTTTGTTTGTTTGTTTAGAGTGTGTAAGAAGGATATGGGTTTCCCTCTACCTTAGGATGTAAGCAGCTATTTCCTTTTTCTGAACATTACTTTTTCAATTAATTACCTCATATTTTGTTTTTCTCATATTGGCCTTTTAAAATGGTATATTTTGGGTTTCATTCAAAGTGAAAATATTTTTAACATTCTTCTTGAGAAGAAAAGCACTCTGTCTTAAGTCTTGATAACAGTTTTTAACTGCTTTTTTATAATATAAAAAAGAATCTTTGAAAATATTATAATCTTTACTTGATCATTGCTAGGAAACCTGGAATAGCTTGAAGGAAATTAAATGCTTTTTGTATTTTAAAGTGTAAGTGTAGGACATCAAACTCATTTATTTGTCCAGTATATCCTCAGTATTTTATCTACCAAACTGATAGGTGATACGTGGTCAAAATTACCTGGGGACTTTTTTGCTTGTATTCCTAGCCCTTAAAAAACATTTTGACTCACTGAAACTGACTCACAAGAGTGGAGCCAGACAACTGGCTTAATGAACACTGTCATTTGAGAATCAGTGGAAAGGGACCTCTGGTGGCCTGTTGGCCAGAAGGTGTGCTGCAATCCTGAAGGTGCGTGGTTCAAATGCACCAGATGCTCCACTGGAGAAGGAGGGGCAATCTCCTGTGCTAGTCAGATCCGATTCGATGGTACGCAACAAGAAAAAAGAAAAAAAGATTCAGTGGAGTAGAAGACTGAACTTTTCTTCAGATGCTTCTGAAATAGAATATGAAGAAATTCTAATTAATTTCCAAGGACTGGTCCCTCCTGGCCACATGCCCAAAGAGATGTGAGATCGAGTTTCACCTCTCCAAGACAGACCTCTTTGTTTCCTTGGTGGTCCATGGTATGTTCAAGACCTTTCTCCAGCTCCACCACTCAAAGGCATAGATTCTTCTTCTGTCATCCTTAGTCATTACCCGGCTCTTGGATGCACAGCAAGTAATTGCAAAGACTGTGGACTGAATCAGGCACACCTTAGTCTCTAGACTGACATCGTTACTTCTCAGTACTCAAGTTCTGATGGTCTAGTATCAAGAAGCTGTGCTGTGGTCCTGAATGCAAGCAATTGAGGCCACTAGCCGCTCTGTGGGAAAAGTATGGGCAGTCTTCTCCCATGTGATTAACTGCCTCTGAAAACCTGCCGGGGCCAGGAGGGGGTCAGTTATGGGTCACTTGGTATACAGCAATCACAACAGAAGATGTTTAGTGCACCTCTATTTTTTCATATCATCCTAAGTATAAAAATCTGTAATCCTAAAAAAAAAAATAAAATCTGGAATCCTATGGTAATTAATAACTAATTGTTTTAAAAGTTTTCCATATTTAAAAAAAAAAAAGTTTTCCATATTTAGTGGATAATTGGATGTTCTTTACTCTGTTGTAACTAGTAAGATTAATCACTATTAAAAATAATCAATACTTACATGAGATTAAATAGAAGAGTATTGAAATTTTAAATATCTAGAACTTTGTGTAAAACAAAATCTCCTTAATTGAGGTGGCAAGGAGCTGTGCTGCAATCCCGAAAGCCTGTGGTTTGAGGCCACCAACCCCTCTGCTGGAGAAGGATGGGCAGTCTTCTTCCATGAGATTAGTTGCCTCTGAAAAACACACTGGCGAGTTAACTGTGGGTCACTCCCAACTCCACAGTACATAACAACAACAATCGGAAAGATTAACCTGTTTGTTTGTTTGTTTGTTTGTTTTGAACTCTTTGGATGCTACTGGTTTTAGTTTTTCTTTTTTTGTGATACTCTCTACTTTTATGAATGTTGCCTTTAGCTTGGTTTTGAACTTTAAGTTTAAACCTTGGGATTTTGTTCTTCCAGTAATTCTGATAACTATAGTCTTTTTTGCAACTAAAATTTATATGGATCAGTGAGGCATAAATATGTAGGTAAATGTTCTTGTCTCTAGCCCTTAAAACCTGTTTCTTCCAGTGACCTGAAGTCTCCCTCTCCCAGGCACTAAGATTTTTCTTATCTGACTCAAACTCTTAAAAATCGGTACCTTTTTTTACCTAGTACTCCTACAGCCACACTTCAGGCCTCACATCTTCTTCAATATGCTTGTCCAATAAAACTGATGAAACAGTGGCATTCATGGGTTCTATTTAGTCAGTCAGCTAAGTGTTAAAATGTAGTTGTATAAAGTTGGGCCATTTACTCCTGTAACATCTACCACCTTTGAAAACCTACTGGAGGGTCAGCTGTAAGTTGGTTCTGACTCAATGGTGTATAACAACCACAGCTGGTGTTTCAGTGTCTGTTACAGGTAAACGGAAAAGTCATTTCTATTTTGTCTTTGTTTCCAGCGTTCCTACTTCCGGACTCTCCTCATGTATGGGTTCCACTTTCTGGTATGGTTCCTTTGTGTCAGAGGAATTAGGGACACACAGTGTGGGTTCAAACTGTTCACGCGAGAAGCAGCTTCCTGGACGTTTTCATCTCTGCACATTGAACGATGGTGAGTTTCTCCTTGGAATGTGGCTGATGTGTTGTGTTACACAGCAGTTCTTCCAGGCCAGGAGAGCAGCCCCGTATCCTCATAATGAATGTCCAGGTTTAAACATAACTACCACTTTAGTACACAAGCTTAATCAGCACCTTTCTGTTTTCTCTGGGTTGACTTACATGAATATTCTCACTCAACATATGATACAGATGTATGTAATTCACCTTAACCACAGATGACATAAATTGAGAGGGCTAAAACATCCTGCTTCCTTAAGCTTTTTTCCCTCATTTGAGGAAAAAATAAAAAGCTCGTAAAAAATCCAAGCAGAATAGAGTACTTGTTTTCTTCTTCCTTCCTTGTACAAGAGAGAAGTTCTTTCTCATGAGACCAGTCTTTCAGTTCCTGCATCCCTCTTAACTTCTCATCACTCTCAACACCGTCAGTTGACTGAACTCCATCCTCCAGCTCTTCAGGAGAAAGATGGGCGTCTCTCCCTCTTGGATTTATCCTTGGAAATCCAGTGAAGACTCAGCTCTGGGTGGGTTTTGCCTTGACAGTGTTGACGTGAGTCAGTATCAGACGCAGATAGAAACCTTTGAGTCCGCCCTGGCGTTCCCCTAGCCCATCTGCATGTCCAGTCTATAACCAAAACCTTCTGATTTCGTTTTCTCTCCCTTTCCACCTCCACCATCACCAGGGCTCATCATTTTTTTGGCTTCAGCGTCAGGAATCTTTTCAAAACTTGGCAGCAATAAATCGTCTTTACTTTTTGATATCCTGTAGTGCCCTCACTGAGCCATGGGGCCTCTTTCTGTAGAATTGTCGCCACTACCTATGCCTTCACATGTGGACTGTCCCTTCTTGCATGTCCAGCTCCTAGAGGCCATGTTAGCCTTCAGATCTCTGGGGCACCTGCCCTCCTACTCCACACGAGATCAGGGCCACCGCTTTCTTTGTTTTTTCAGTTCCCGCCTTCCCAGCACCTGCTACATGTGTAGTTGGGGGTTTTTCACCCATGTAGTTCTTTCTCCTTTACAATGTAAGTTCCATGAGAGCCAGGGTTTCATCTAATATCTTCCTATCTTAACAGAGTGCCTGACACACAGAAATTACTCCCTAAATAATGTTGAAAACTTTATGCCTAATGCTAATCGTGGATTCTATGTGGATCCTGTTTATGGTGGGTATCTGGCATAATTAGTTCAGTGTGTTGTGCAAACTAAACCCATTTTCAGCACGTTTACTGGGATTCCTGATGGCCCCTGTGTGTCAGAGTAGAACTGTGCATCATAGGGTTTTCTGTGGCCAATTTTCAGAATTCTGTCACCAGACTTTATTCCGAAGTGCTGCTAGGTGGAATCGAACTGCCAACCTTTTGGCTAGTAGCCAGACATTAACCATTTGAACCATCAAGGGACCCATATCACCAACCTTAAATGCCAGGAAGTAACACAATATAAATTGTATCTTTATGCTTCATCTTTGATCACCAATTCAAGATTCTCTAAGGAAATTCTTTTTCTTTAGTGGGTGAGCATATTTTACAGTTCTTGTATCAATGTAGATTTATTATTCCCTGTATAGCTTTCAAGTGATCACCAAAATAGGCCGCCTCTGTACTTTCTTTCCAGGAGAAATGCCTATGCCTTTGGGATGTCACTTTCTCATAAATCTGTCTTTACTTTTTACCTTCTAAAAAAAAAGTATTACCAAAACAAACTAAACTCACTGCCATCAAGTTGATTCTGAAGCTGTAGTTATTTACCAAAGGAGACTGTCCATCTTCCTGCCCCAGAGCAGCTGGTGGATTTGAACTGCCAGTCGTTCAGTCAGGAGCTTGATACATCATGCACGAGCCACATTTTATCAAATGCACTAGGAGTGAAGTGCTTTATAAACTTACTGCCCGTGTAACTGTTAGCATTATTAGTATTTTACATGTTAAAAATATATTACACTAAAATTGGAATTAAATTTTAGATACAGTGAGAGCTAGTGAAAATAGTCTATGGTTGCATGTCTTTTTTTTTTTTAATTTTCTATTTTATTATTTTTGTGTGAGTGTACCGTCAAATCAGATTTGACTGGTACAGGACGAGATTGTCCCTCCTTCCTCGGCAGAGCATCTGGTGGATTCGAACCGTGCGCTTCTGGGATTGTAGTTGCAGCTCCTTGCCACTGGGCCACCAGAGCTCCCGGTTGCATGTCTTAACTTTGCAATGTGGCAATGTTTTTACTACTCGAAATTGTATTGACACCAGGTGCATATTTAGCCACCAGTGTTATTTTTTCTTGAGCTCATGTGTCTTAAGCTCTGGACTGTCTTGAACACTTGCATTTTTGATGATTAGTATCAGTAGTTTCTTTTTTTTTCAGTAGTTTCTAAATCAGCATTTGTAATCCTACTGCTTCATGTCCTAGAATATGTTCTATACAATAGCACACGGCATTTAAATGGTGTACAACAAGCAGAGAGGTTAGTGGTTTGAATCCAGCAGCTGCTCTGCAGAACCAAGGTGGACAGTTTCCTTCCTTAAAGATTAACAGCCTCAGAAACTTGCCATCTGTCAGGTTGTCAGAATCAATTCAACAGCAGTGGGTTTGGTTTTCCAGTTTTATTTTTGTACATGTGTTTGCAAAGATGATTTGTCTCTTGGAAAACAGTTCATTTACACGCCCAAGCAGATTTTTCCAAGAAATAATAATTTCAGAATTAAATTATTTGCTATTATTGTTGTGTACCATGGAGTCGGAACCAACCTGTATCTGATCCTCCAGCGGGTTTTCAAAGGCAGTAAAACGCGTAGGAGAACACTGCCCAGGTTTCTCCCGCAGAGAAGCTGGTAGACGTGAACCATGTGCCTTCAGGTTGGAAATGCATATCCTTACCATTAGGCCGCCAAAGCTCCCTTTTCATCAGGAAGTATTTAAGATATTTTTTTATCAAATATTTTTGGTTCAGATTCATTGTTTATGGGGTCGCTATGAGTCTTAGTCAACTTGACAGCACCTAACAGTATTTTAAAAATTTACTATTAATTTGCTATTGAAAGTAAGACTTATGTTTCTTTTACCTGAAGAATCCCTGATAGTTCTTTGCTATTTCTTAATGATGTTGTGCTCAAACTCCCTGTACAGAGTAGAAATGATCTTTCTGTGTTTAGACACATTCAGTTATCTGTCACTGTCATCATTTTCTTAGAAATAGGTTATCTGCTCCTCTCTTCCTGCTTGTTCTATGACTTGCTGCATAATTCCTGTCTCTTATGAATCTCCTTTTTCCTCTGTGCACACCCCTGTGTTAGTAGAACAAATACTTCATTAGCTTTTCATAAAGAAAATTAAAATCTTCTTTGAGACTTTCATGTCAAAAAATGCCTTTATTGTACCCTTACACGTGTTTAACAACTGGGCCAAGAATCATAGGTTTGAAATTCTGTTTTCTCGGGATTTTTGAAAGCATTTTTCCTTGGCATTCCGTGTTTCTGTGGAGAACTCCAGTTCTGTGAAGAAATGAGTCCTGTGTCTTTGTGGGTGTCCTGCTGCTTCCATCCACCTCTGGAGAACTTTTCTTTGCAGTGTTTAGTTCTGATCATGACCCTGCGCCTCACTGTGCCTCCTTTCCGTGCATTCTGTCGAGTCCTCAAGTCCACGGTCTGAACTTGGAAGTTTTAGTTGCCCTTTTAGTTGTCAGGTAGACCTTGTGAATGTGGCAGCTGTCGTCCTTCAGCTGTGAGGAGCCTTTGCGTCGTTTATCTGACCATCCCTCTTCCTCCTTGTCTCTGCGCTCTATAGTCAAGTGTGGAACCTCATTGATCTTGTACCTTTTACCTTTCTCCCCTCTTTCTCTTTTGAGATTTCCTTAGTTTAGTCTTCCAGTTGGCCTGAATTTATATCTGAACTAACAAAACTTCAATTTCTACTAATGGAAATTTTTTTCTGTTCAAGTATTCTCTTTCCACGAGCCTCCTGTCCATGTTTCATTACAACAGTGTCTGCTACGAGTTCTCTGAGCATGTCCTTTAAAACACTGACGTTTTCTTCTTGTGATGCAACATTTGTATTTCCTCCGATTCTGCCCTTTTGGTTTGTTTTTAGCAATAGTAGACATTTGCTCAGATACCTCTAGTACAACACTGCAAAGTCTTTGGAGGCTGTCCTGAGGCTAGGCCTCTGACTTGTAGTGTTCATTAGCCTAGCTGCCCCAGCTTCTTGAGAAGCTCACCTGTCAGCTTTTGGAGATCTCCTGGACTGGTCATTTCCACCACCGCAGGATGCATCAGTGACAGTCACTTGCACTACAGCAGGATTCGTCAGTGAAGAATGTTGTCATTGAGTGCCATGGAGTTGACCATGACCCACAGCGACCCTGTGAACAGTGGATCTGAACCTTACCCTGTCCTGTGCCATCCTCCACGTCCTTCACTTACATTCATTGATACAGTCACTGTGTTGATCCATCTTGTTGAGGGTCTTGCTTTCTTTTGATGGCCCTCCATCTTTCCCAGTGTGATGTCTTTTTTCAGTGACTGATCCTTCCTAACAACATTCCCTAAGTATGTGAGACAGAGTGTCACCATCATTGCCTGTAAGGAGCACCTTGGCTGCACTTTGTCCAGAGAGACTTATTTGTTCTCTTGGAGGTCCGTGGGACAGTGCTCTTCTTGAACACCACTGCTCACAGCATCAGTTCTCCATGTCCAGCTTTCAGATGCACAAGTCATTGACAATACCATGGCTTGGACCAGGCACACCTTCTTCTTAAACTAACGTCATTGCTCTTTGTCACTCTGGAGAGGTCCTTGACAGCAGACGTCCCCAAAGCAATTCACTTCTGTTTGATTTCTCTGGGGCAATGGCAGGAGGTCCTCTGGAGGTATCCCTTACAGCAGACGTCCCCAAAGCAACTTGTCTTTTGATTTCTTGACTGCTGGTGTCAAGGATGTTAATTGTGGATTCAAACAAGAATAAATTATTTTCATCTTCTGTCTTTTCTCCATTTATGATGATGTTGCCTCTGGGCCCAGTGGTGGAGATTTTTGTTTTCTTGGTATTGTGATGTAAATCCATATTGAAGGGTATGGTATTTGATTTTTCTATAGAAAGCTTTTTTCTTTTTTTTTAGATTGTGGCATCAGCATAATGCATATTGTTGATGATTCTACCTCTGTCTGTTGCTACATTCTTCTTGTAGCCCAGCTTCTTGAGTGATTCGGTTAGCATACAGAGTGAATAGGTCCAGAGAAAAGATACAGTGCAGGACTGGAGGCATAAATTGCCTGGCAGCTTTTACAGGAAGTCTCACGGTCCTGCAGAAGAGGCGCACACGTGTGACTGTGTTCAGCATGGTGTGCTCACTCTTAACTCCTCCTGGAACCCTTATGTCCAAAGTCACTTTATTTTTTTGGTCAACCTCTTAACTTCTGAGGAGAATCTCATGGGATGGAAGAAGGAATCTTTGGGGGCAGTTGCACCACCAGCATCTAGGCTTGTCTACTGCTTTGTTCACTCTCTTGAGCTCTCACTTGGACAGCTCCTTCCAACTGAAAAAAGCAAAAGGGAAATGGTTCTATCATAAGAGTAAGAAAAAGCACTAAGTCTTAAAAAAAAAATAATAATCTTATATTATCCCAAAGTCCCAAACTCAAATTTTCTGAAATCAGAAAAATCAAGTGTGAACTATAGTCATTTTTATTTTCTCTGAATGTTTTAAAAGCTAGCTCTAGGAATTTAAACTTGTCTCTCTGAATCAAAGGCAAAAGCAAAATATTGAAAGATTTCAGAATTTTAACAAATGTGAAGAAGGTTTAGCAGTTACTTAATGTCGATAATGGAAGCAACTGGCCAAAGAAATTTTGTAGAGAAACTTCTGAGTCAGAATTCAAAGAATCTAGAGAAAGTAGATTTAAGGTAAGCTCGTCTACTAGCTAAAGAAAAGGTTTACGGAAAAGATCTTTTGTAAATAGAAGAAAGGATAAACTTGGAATTAATGATATACCTAATTATATATCTTATATACATACACGTATCTCAGTTTACCTAGAGCATATTCCAGGCCATTCTAAAGTAGCTTTCTACTTAAAATAGCTCCTCAATACTAATTTTATACAAGGCAGCCTGGAGACTAAGACAGGAAAGACATAGCCTCAGGAATGTTTTTATAAAACAAAGCATCATCCATTTGCATTAGAAGAGAGGAACCGTGCACAGAAGTGATCATACCGTCCCCTCTGAGAGCTGTGGGATCCTGTTCCATCAGCTCTGAGTCAGTTGAAAATATTATACACTGTGTACCCGGAGCTGGAAAAAGCTGATGTTGAAAACAATCAATCTTGAAACTTTCCGAGGTTCCATTTTCCCTTTGTGCCCAAGAGACTGTTTCCACCTCTAAGAGCATCTGAGAAGTGATGGAGACACCATGTCATTTAAATGTTTGTACAGTGAGATTCTGCTAAATTATCTTGTTTGCCTTGAAACTTCTGCACCACTCAGCTTTTAAATATTTGACTTTATGTGAATCTGACCTTCAGTCTTCGAGTATAAGCTTTACATCTGCCATGTAAGCATCAAGTCTTGCCAGGCTAGAGATTCAATTACACTCTACTTGTCTTTTTTAAAAAAATAAATATCAATACGTTTTCTATTCCAGGGCATTTGATGTAGAACTGCTTTACATAGCACAGTTCTTTAAAATTCCAATAGCAGAAGTTGCTGTCAACTGGACTGAAATTGAAGGTATGTTGTTTCTGTACACCTGATCTTAAATCAGACAGGGTGAGAGACTTCGGACAATTTACCCAGTGAAACCACCCGGCTTTCATCTGCTCCTGCTCCCTCGGACCTCCTGTGCGGGCCGACTCAGCTGTGTTGACGTCGAGAGCCAGTCCCACAAGGGTCAGCCCAGCCCAGCCCACTGCCCTCAAGTCCATACTGACTCAGTGACACTGTATGACAGACTTCACGTGCCCATACGGTTTCCCAGGCTCCCGTCCTGCTTCTGCAGATTGGCGGCTCACTCACCACCATCGAGTCACTTCTGATCCGCCGTGACCCTCTGCAGAGTTTCCAGTGCTGTAAACGGCAATAGGAGGACACAGTCCATCATCTCCCTGGGAGAAGCTGGTGGGTTTGAATAGCCAGAGACTCTGCCTTTGTGTTAGCAGTGAACCTCACTCTGGACTGTGCTACCAGCGGTTTGTTGTTGTTCTGTGCCTTCGAGTCATCTGAAACCCATAGCTCTGAAGCCTGCCTTGCCCTGAGCCAGTCTCACTAATTCTGACACACCCACCCCCATTACCCCAGGTACTGAATCAATCCATCTCATCCAGGGTCTTTATATCCTGTGTTGTCCCTCCACCCTTCTGAGCATGATGTCCTTCTACACGGACTGGTCTCTCCAGGCTACGTGCCCAAGTATATGAGACAGAGCTTTAAAATCCTAACCTCCAAGAAGAAACTATGGCTAGTGGATTCAAACTGGCAACCTTTCACTTAGCAAATAGGTGCTTAACCACTGCACCACCAGTTCTCCTTTTGTGGGCAAAAAACCCCGGGCAAAAAAAAAGTTGTTGCCCATCTTTCTCCTGGGGAGAAGTTACTGAATTTGAACCACGTTTCTTCATGTTGGCAGCTCAGTTCCTTACCATTAAGCCACCAGAGCTCCCTTCACCACTCATTGGCGTAGTATTGTTTATTTTGTTTTCTTGCTGTGTGCCGTTGAATCAGATCCAACTGGCACAGGAGGAGATTGCCCCTCCTCCAGCGCAGCATCTGGTGGATTCAAACTGAGCATCTTTGGGATTGCAGCACAGCTTCTTGCCACTAGGCCACCAGAGTTCCCCAGCACAGTACTGTTTAATCACTCAGTGGGTATATTTAGTGCCTATAAATCATTATGAAGAGCTGAATAAGGAATTATAATTGTTTTGCTCCAAATGACCACAGTCTGTTCAGAGTCATTTTTTAGCTTCTATCTGTATCTGTAGATAAATCCAAAAATATAAAAATCTCTAATTTGAAATCTGCCCTAACTCTTAATATTTCCTTTTCAGAAAAGCTTAAGGCATTTCTGGATGGATAGATTAAAATGTATCTCCATTTTCTCATCTGCTTACTGTAGACTGAAGCTAAATTGACTCCAGTGTGAGGACAATTCACAGATTTTCAAACTAAACCTCTCCCCTCCTGTGAATAAGACCCACACACTGTGAGTCATGGCTGGAGAAGCCAGTGCTCTCTGTAAATGGATATGTTTAGGGGCAGAAAATGGTAAGAACTAGCCTAAAGCTTATACCAACGGAGTGGTCTAGAACAGACTGAACCTCGTGGAGCCTTGCTGAGCCAAAACTGAGCAAAAGGAGCTGAATAATCGCGACAGTTGGGCTGTTAAGGCAGAAGGAGCTGAGGAAAGGCTCAAGGGCTGTCCAGAGTTGCAGTGATCAGCTGTAGCCTTTGGTTTCTTATCCCTCATAGATGCTCTGGGGAGCTGAAATGCAGAGAAGCAGAAAATGATTACATGTTTATGTGATTTGCTTATTTGTATTTCAGAGACAGTCGCAAGTTGTAGGTACTTCAGTTTCCTTATTTGTGAAACGAAGATACTATTTCCCTCTGGTTAATAATAAAGAACAAGTTTGGAAACCACAAGGTACTTTGGTGGAACTATTTTCAGAAGAAGAAACCTCAGTGAGGAGTCATTTCTGACTCATTGAACTGCCCCCTGGGGTTTCCAAGTTGTAATCTTTACAACAGTAATTGTGACCCATCTTCCATTGAGTCACCAATGGGTTCCAAACCTCTGATCTCTTGATTACCAGCCACTGCTGCTCCACCACCACTCCTCACAAAGAGAGCAGCTAGTTAAATTCACAGCAAGACCTCAGTTCTGTTATCTGTGATGCTGTGTTTTATATGCAATTATTATTTCCAGTAACCAGCCTTCACTGAATAGTTTTTTGTTTTTTTGTTTTTGTTTTTTTTAATTTTGTGTGCGTGTACCGTCAAATCAGATCTGACTGGTACAGGAGGATATTGCGCCTCCTTCTCCGGCAGAGCGTCTGGTGGATTCGAACCGTGTTCCTCTGGGATTGCAGTTCAGTTTCTTGCCACTAGGCCACCAGAGCTCCCCCACTGAATAGTTTTTGTATTAAGCATTTCTAGAATCCTCAACCACATACAGTCCTTCCTTCCCTGTTAAAAGAGCCCTGGTAGCCTAGTGCATAACATACCAGGCTGCCGACTTGAAGGTAGGTAGTTGAAATCCAGCAGCCATTGCAGGGGAGAAAGCTGGGCAGTCTCTTCCCTCAAAGATGTACAGCCACAAAAAACTCACGAGGGTCCTCGGGGGCAGTCAGCTCAGGGGCAGTGGGCTCTCACTGTATGACAGCCTTTCGAAATTTTTAGTTTAAATCCTCCCATGTTTCCTTTCACTTCAGAAGACATTGTTTGTCTTTTTTAGGGGGGAAAAACCCCCGCCCTGATTTTAGTTTTAAAATTTTTCCATTTTATCTGTGTGTTAAATAGGATTAAAGGATGACTAGAGATTCACTCAAGTTGTGTATATTGACTTCTGAAATCCATTGTTACGTGGATATATTTCCCACAGATGTTCATTTAAGTTAATTTCTTTTTCATTATTTTTACAGGTTCTAAATTAGTTCCATTTTGGAGCTGGCTACAGATGGGCAAAGACCTCCTTTTTATACGACTTCGTTATTTGACTGGGGCCTGGAGGCTTGAGAAGACTAGAAAAAAGAATTAGCTTATTTACTGCCTTTGATTATATTCTTACACATTATTGTCTCATTTCATGTGAAATTAAAATTTTGATTAAAGCTGGAATTCTATTGCTGTTGTCTGCCTTTTTACAGTTTCAAAGAATAAATGGCCATTGAAGAAATTTTTTCCATCATTTCTAGACAAAAACGGAATATTCCTTGGAGACAGAAGAACAGACAAATCTGTCTTGGAGGAAGTGTAACCAAGGGGCTCATTAGAGGCAAGGATGGTGAGGCCGCGTCTCACCTACACGGGCGTGTTGTCAGGTGGTCTAGCTCTCCGAGAAAGAGCTGCTGGGAAAGGTGGAGGGTTGGGGAGGGAGCCTCCTTATGAGGTGGGCGGACACCAGCAATGAGCTTAAAAGTAGGGAGAGGACAGTACAGGATAGGCAGGGTTTAGTCAGAGGCTCATAGGGTCACTGGGAGTCTTCGTCTACTCAAAGGCACTTAACAACAAAAAGACAAAATAATACTTTTTTTAAAGTGTCTATCAAAAGTCTCGCCTGACATACTTTGGACATGTTGTAAGGAGAGACAGGTCTTTAGAGAGGGACATCATGCTGGGCAGAGTGGAGGGACAGCGCAGGAGGGGAAGACCCTCTATGAGGTAGATTGATTCAGTGACTGGGGTAATCGGGGTGGGTGTGTCAGAAGCAATGAGATTGGCACAGGATAGAACAGGGTTTAGGGCTGATGTACATAGGGTCGCTTATGAGTCGCAAACGACTCGACGGCACATAACAACATCAAAAGTCAGATATTTTTGCTTTAGTTTTTTGCTTTGATTCTGAGAAATAGAATTTTCAGGCAGAAGCAATTAACTTTAATGAACTTTGGATAAGACAAAATTACATTCACAGATTTCAGAGTAAAATTTGGCATATGTAAAAATACATACAAATTTATCGGTATTCAAGAAATCCATAATCCAAGCCTTAAAACTCTAGGAAATTACATTAAAGGTAAAAATACAGAGTTGTTCACAAGTTATGCAAAGTCTTGTTTTCTTGTAAAGCATGATTTCTCTCCTGAATGTTGTTTATTGTTGTATTTGGCCCCTGACCTCATAGGTAAGGGTTTCTCCAGTTGTACTGACTGGTTAATATGTCACTACAGCTCTCATACAGGTGCAGGAAACTGTACCAAACCACGAACCAGCGCCACTACAGGTGTGTTGGTTGGTCCTGACCCAGTAACCTCCCTTCAGGTTTCCAAGAAAGGGTGCCGCTCAGCTTTCCCCTACAGGGTGTCTGGTAGATTCGAACCTTCACCATTTTGGTTAGCAGCCTGATGTATTACACAGTGCAACACCAGAACAGCAAGCTCCTTAAAAATAGAAGCCTTTTCTCACTTAAATTGATAACCCCAACACAGTGTTTGGCATTTCATAAACACTGTTGCCTTTACCAACTTGATTTTGTACCCCGTTTTGAGTTGCTTAATAGAGTAGAGTTTGTTGTTATGATGTGCCATCAAGTCGCCGGCCCACTCATAGCAACCCTATGCACAACAGCTCTGAAGCCTGCTCTGTCCTGAACCAGTCTTACTGTCTCCAATATACCTACCCCATTACCCTGGTCACTGTGTCAGTCCATCTCATCCAGAGTCTTCCTTTCCTGTGCTGTCCCTCCACCCTTACAAACATGATCCAAGGACAGGTGTCTCTTAGCAACACACCCAAAGTATGTGAGACCAAACTTCAAAATCCTTGCCTCCAAGGAGCAGCTTGGTTTCAGCCTCTCCAGGACAAACTTGTTTGTACTCTTGGCAGTCCATGGAATGGTCAGCACTCTTCTCCAGCACCGCGGTTCAAAGACATCAGTCCTACTCTCATCCTTAGTCATTGTCCAGTTCTCTGATGCATAGTAAATAATGACAAAGAGCATGGCCTGTATCGGGTGTACCTTAGTCTGTAGAGTGACATCATTGCTCTTGAGTACACTGGCGAAGTCCAACAGCAGATTTTTTCAATGCAGTACATCTTTTGATTTCCTGAGTGCAGGTGCCAAGAGTGTTGATTGTGGAGCCGAGCAAGCTGTAATTGTTAACTTCCTCAATTTCATCTTCATCTATCATGGTGCTGCCAGCCGGTCCAGTGGTGAGAATCTGGCTTCTTGAGGTTGAGCTTCAATCCATATTGAAGACTGCAATCTTTAACCTGCAGCAAGAGCTTCAGGTCCTCCTCATTTTTGGCAAGGAATGTTGTGTCATCTGCATAACGTAGATTATTGATGAGTCCTCCTACAGTCCTGATGCCACATTCCTCCTCATAAAGTCCAGATACCCAAATGATCTGTGTATAGATTGAAAAGGTATGAAGACAAGATACATCCCTGATGCACTTCTTTCTCGATTTTGAACCATGCAGTGTTTCCTTCCTCTGTTCTGACAGCTGTTTCCTGATCTAAGTACAGGTTTCACATGAACACAAGTGTTCTGGAATTTCCATTATTCTCAGTGTTAGCCACAATTTGTTATGATTCACACAAAAGCAAAGTTTAGGCAAATAGAAATAACAAAGTAATTTGTAGAAGACCTTAAGTATGTGTTAGAATTCATAAATCTTTTAATTGGAATAAAATTCTTAAACAATGTGTTCCTTTTAGACTAATGAAAATATATATCTGGAACTTAATTAATTGGAATTTTGAGAGACAGTGTCAGTAATTTTTTATGTAGTTCATCCATGGACACCACTAGAAAAGATTTCAGGAATTCTTGCCAGCCAAGCTTGATAAATCCACGTTCATGTTCACATGAGCTAAGAGCGTAGTACAGAATTTGAGGCAACCAGTGAGAGAATAGATGTTTAACTTGTTGAGATTACATAATTTGCAAACAAAGAGGAACTATGATAATCAAATGAAGATACCCATTCTTACACTTTACTATGTGTAAAGGATTGTGTCTGCAATCTTTCATTTAATCTCACTATCTATGGGGCAGGTATCACTCCCATTTCCCAGATACAAATGTAAACTTAGACATTGCTGCTGTTATATACCTCTGAGTCACAACCAACCCACAGCTGACCCTCCAGTGAGTTTTCAGAGATAAAACTTGGAGGGTGGTTGGACACCCTCCTGTGGAGCATCTGATGGATTCAAACCCCGTGCCTTTGAGTTAGCAGCACAGCTCCTTAGCACTAGGCAACCGGAGCTTCCTTAGCTAAGTATTTTGCTCAAGATCACAAACTAGTCACTTGTACTGAAATAAAATAGTATGGAAATACAGGAGCCTTTACCATGACTGAGGGAACTCAAGGAGTTGCCCTGCCAACCCAAAGGCAGGCAGTTCCTCCTGAGTGATGTCCAGCCTCTGAAAACCCCCTAGGGGGTCAGCAACCAGTCAATTCCCACTCGATGGCAATGAGTTTGAAGAGGTTTTTTTTCCTGACATGATTAAACCAAAAGGATAATCTCATTACAGACAATAGAGCCATTTCTGTGCCGGCAAGCTTCAGCACTGGAAAAATCCTTGGTAAAGGACCAAAGACGGATAAGTTCCAGGCTGAAACCTGAGTGTTATAGAGCCATTTCTTTACAGTGCCCTAACTTGCTCTTTCAGAAGAGGGCATTAACTTACTGTCATATCTGGTGATAGCATGTTTCTTGACACTTGTTATTTTCTATTTCCATACAAGTATGTACTTCTTGCTATATATACATCAGAGGGCTGGACAATGAAGAAGAAGAGTCAGTATCTTTGAGTTGTGCTATTGGAGACAATTACTGAAAATACCACGGACCACAAAGAAAACAAATAGGTCTGTCTTGGGGAGGGTCAAACCAAGTTCTCCTTTGAGGCTAGGATTTTGAAGCTCCATCTCATATACTTTGAGCACATAGCCAAGAGGGACCGATCCTTGGAGAAGGACATCATCCTTGAGAGGGTGGAGGGGCAGGAGAGGAAGACCCCGTATGAGATGGAATGACATTGTAATTGGGGTAATGGAAGTAGGTGTGTTGGAATCAGTGAGACTGAGGATGGGGTGGGATTCAGAGCTGCTGTGCATATGGTCACTATGTGTTGTGGTCACTGTGTTGACAGGCGACTCAACACAAAACAACAACAATGTACTTCTACCATTTGGAAGGTTCTTACTGGCCAAATTTTTAAATAAGATCACCAGGTCTTTCTTTCTGGTCTTAGTGTGCAAAATTTGCTTAACCCCATCCACTATGGGTCACAGGTATTTAAACTACTCAACTATGACTCATAGTGACGCTATGAAGAGTAGGTCTGAACCCTGCCCAATCCCCAAGCCATGCTGACCATCTCTGCCCCACTAGAGCCCATTGCTGCAGTCACAGTGTCCATTCATCCCGCCAAGGATCCTACCCTTCTTTTTACTGAGCATGGTGTCCTTTTCCAAGGACTGACCCCTGAACTCTGGCTTCACTCTCTCCAAGACATACTTGTGTGTTCTCTTGGCAACCCATGGGATATTTAGTGCTTTTCTCCAGCCTCACAGCTCAGAGGCACCAGTTCTTCCATCATCTTTATTCACTGTCCAACTCTCAGATGCGTAGCATGGCCTGAATTAGGTGCGCTCTGGGCTTAAACTGACATCCCTGCTCTTCAGCAGCTGGGAAGCGGCTGGAGTTCAGCACCCAGACTACAGGCTTTCCCAGTGCAACACGTCTTTTGATTTCCTGACAGTTGGTACCAAGGTTGTTGATTGTGGATCCACTTCAGCATGTTTCCCCTTTGTTTTGGCTTCTTGAATGTTGTTGTTATGTGCCATTGAGTCACCTGCTACTCATAGTGACCCTATGTACAACAGCCTAAACCCTGCTCTATCCTGTGCCAATCTTATTGTCTCTGATATACCTCCCCCCATTACCCCAGTCACTGCATCAGTCCATCTCATTGGGGGTCTTTCTCTCTTGTGCTGTCCCTCCACCCTTCCAAACATGACATCCCTCTCCAAGGACTGAACCCGTGTTGCAACATGTCCAAAGTATGTCAGACAAAGCTTCAGAATCCTTGCCTCCAAGGGGCAGCCTGGCTTCATGCTCTCCTCCAGGATGAACTTGTTTGTTCTCCTAGCAGTCCATGGTAT